TGACAACTTTCTCAGCGTTTGGAGTTGTAATCACTCCTCGAATGCGAAAGTCGACTTTGAGGATTGTCGATGTGTCTTGAACCTTTGCATGGTTGATGTGATTTGCTATCTCTATAAAGCGAAGAACCTCGCTTCCCCTTCCTCTGCGCTAAAATCTCCGGTCTCTGTTTTTCTCACGAAGCCAGCAGGAATATTGACCTACTGGGAATGGTTACTTTATTTTACTTCATTTATTCTTCTCCGGTCTCTATAAAGAGGATTGTTGATGTGTTTGTGTTTTTACTTCATTTTACTTAATATCTTCCTTGAAAATTCTTCTGGGAATGGTTACTATTTTGTTAAACCCACTGCTTTTTCGCCTATGAAGTCTCAATCTGATTATGATATCTTTTGTCAGGAACATTTGAGACCGACCAAGGTGACCTGGGAGCTAGCTCTTCAGCCATGAACTTTCGAACCTGGGGACATTTGGGTGGGTTCTTGATTTGGAACGCTGGAAATTGCAAATCAACATTGCTCCTTGTAGTGACAAGATTGCACCGTAAAACTGGGAGTTTGGGGGAAAGAATCATGGAGGATGACGACAAGCAGACGAGTCCTAGCCATCGGATATCACGATATGGCCTATTTCGCTATGGATTTAATCTCCAGTTCCTTGTCTCAACAGACCCTCGTCGCCGTCATAGATGATGATGGCAAATTAATCGGGGAGATCTCTCCAGACACCCTGGCAAGCTGCGATGAAACGGTCGCAGCGGCAATTACAGCCCTCTCAGTGGGCGATTTAATTGCTTACATCGACTATGGTGGTCCGCCGGAAGCCCTGGTGTAGGTGGTGAAGGCAAGGTTGAAAGAGAGGAAGTGGGAAGGAATGTTGGAGGAATTCTCCCCGTCATCTTCATCATCATGTTCGTCAGACGAGGAGTCCTCTTCATCGTCGCCAAGGGCACCACTGTGGTCGCACAGGTATAGCCGGTAGGGAAGTTACTCAATGAGGATGGTGGGGAGAGCAGAGGCATCTCTCTCCATCGGTGCTTCATCGGTGAAGTAGTTAAACAAGTACGCAATTGTGGAAGGTTGGGAGTTTACACAGATGAATAAGGTTGTGAGTTTACACTTGAAAGACATTTTTGTCTTTGTGCATGTTATTTAACCGCTGATTAACGTCGGGTATTAGATTGTCGTAAAATAAAAGTTCGGGTACTAGATTGTCGCGTTTTAAAATTTGGATACTAAACTGACACTCGACCTAAAGTACATGGTGCCTATCGAGAATTTTCCCTAAATTAAATCCAACCCTTTCATCCTATATATGGTTAGATTCAAATAAAAACTAATCCACTTTTACTTAATTGACTTTATAACCAAAATCTTACTAAGTATAAATATTTTCAACCCCTTGTTAACTTAATAGGTATGATTGTCAATGTGTCATCAATTAGGTTTTTAGTTATGTTCATTTAATCCACTAACCGTTTATTTGCCCAAATAAGAAGAAAAGACTCAACCAATGACTTGGTGATTCATCTAATTGAACCACTGAACCATTTAACCCGTTTAGTGGGCCACAAGTTATATATTTAATCCCTTTGTTGTTTTCTAGCCTTTTCTATCATTAATAAAAATAATCCATGGTCATACTTACCATGAATAAAAACACAAAATTTAAATACTACTTCAATTGCTTATAGTTTCATTATAGACATATCCACAAATCTCTTTTATTCTTTTTTATTTATTATGTTTACTTTTAATTTGTTAAAATAAATTTCTATTCAGATGCCATCATATTGGATTAATATAAAATTTAATTTAGAGAGGACCAATAATATAGAATATCTGGGTTTGGAATAATACAAACAAATTAATAGATTTATTTATTTTTAATATTATTAGACATATAAGCTTATATTAGCTTTTGTATATATTTAATATTTTAATATTAAACAAACTTTCTAGTATAACATATAGAGCATTGATTTAATATAAAATTAAATTAAGAGATAATTAATAGATACTTCAATGACAATTGAGTTAAACTGTTTGGCAATCAATGAGAATTGAGTTCATAATGCCTTTTGGTTATTCTTTATCTTTTAAAATTGCAAGAAGGAAAAAATTTCTAAGGGGTCATGGTGAACATAAAACCTGAACTGACACAAAATTCTAGATGTGTGATAAAAGATAACATTTGCAAGCTATACAAGAAGAAATAGTTTTATAATTGGTAGTATGTAGGCCTTGTCAATAGGAAGGGATGTATCATGTATGCTGATCTGATGCCCTCCATCTTTTTTACAGACTCTTGTTGAACAAAAGAAAAAAAAAAGAAATAATACCGAAAAGACTAAAGACTTATAACCAATCAACTGGTATCACAAAATTGCTAATCATCTAGGTGGGTTTTAATAAAAAAAATCATATTGAATTTTAATCCATCCTTAAAACTTGAATTTCATGTGGTTCTTGTTATTGGATCATCACTCGTCAGTAGGGGTGTCAATTGGACCGGATTTGATGTATTCTGATCTAGTCCAATATAAATTCATTACAGATGCACCAAGTCCAATCCAATCCGGTGAGTACTCTTGACCAGTCTAATTCAATGTCTGCACTGTCCAATATGTTAGAATTGGTTTTAATTAAGACTGGTTCTAACCCAGACCTGGTCCACTGACACCTGTGTTCTATCTTCTATCAATGGACCTGATATTTGTTCTGACCAAATCCAATATAAATCCATTATGGATGAATCAGGTCCAATCCAATCCAGCAAATACTTTGGACCATTAAGTCTGGACTGGTCCAATTCAATATGTCTTATTGGTCTGTTCAGTCCGGACGAATTGATTTTAATTTTGGCTGGTCCAGTCCAAAACCGATCCATAGACACCCCTATTTGTCAACTTTGTATTTGGTTCTTGACATAATAAGGATTAGTATGTAGACGAAATTAATACAAGATAAGCCCATAAAACAACACTCCCTGGTCTGACTCAATTTCTTCTTTTTCTTTTATTTCTTTATTTTCTTTTATTTTTTTTCTTCATGGGACTACACAAAGGGAGGTAGTCCATCCCCTCCCTTAATCTTAGGGACTGGATTTGGTCCAATCCGATCCAGTCCAATGTGAGTCCATTATAACTGGACCAGGTCCAATCCAATCCAATGTATATTTTGGACCAAATTGTACCGGTCAATTCAATGTTTGGACCATCCAATCTGTTCAAATTCATTTTAATTTAGATTTGTTTCAATCCAAACCCAGTCCATTGACACCTATATTCTTATCTTATATCAATGGATTAGATATTGACTTAATCCAAACCAATCCGATATAAATTTATTACGGATGAACCAAGTTCAATCTAATATAATAAATATTTTGTACCGAATTGATTCAATCCAATAATATGTCTTGTTGGTCCATCCAATCTGTCGAAATTGATTTTGGACTGGACGGGATCCAATCTAAAACCGGTCCATTGGCACCTTTACTTAATCCCCACCCAACCTAACCTGGTGATAGTGAGACTTGATCCCAATCCCAAATCTCTAATCCAACGAGTCAAAGATCCTACCAACAGGCACTCTGACTCAATTTCAAAACGTTATGAAATTGGAAATGTGCCTCCGAGCTCGAGGGCCTTTATTTCAGTCTGGAATGCATACAGCAGAAATATGGCTTTAATTTTGTTAGGATCTAAAAAATGATAAGGGAGCCTAAAGAAATTAGGTGGACCTCACGAGAAGATTCTTAAGGCCTCAGTCAAAAATTGGATAGGCCAAATTATTCCAGACCTATTCTTGGTCTCTGAGGACGTTAATTGATGACGTTGAATTTCTAATATACAGGCCAAAACAAGTGAGGCCCAAGAACGGCCAAGATTTGGCAATTGGTCATTCATATTGTTCAATTGGGATTTAAGGTCTGTTTGGTTTACAGTTGGAATCGGAATAGGAACCTTGAAATTCAGATGAGAATGGTCTATTTCCTTCACTTGTTTGGTTTAGATTAGAATTAGATCAATTAGAATGGATTCTTATTGCAATGGAAGGGAGAGGGAATGACTATTCCCTCAGATAAGGGCAACTTTTTGCCCTGAATATCAATAAAAGATAATAATTTTATAAAATAACAAAAATAAGTAAATTTTTTTTTTGGAAAATATCAAAGAAGGGCAGTGACACTGTTGATCGCCTTCCTCTGCCCTCCTCTGTATTCATCCGAATACACAGGATTTGAAACCTCGGTGAAGGACGCATTAACAGCGGTTCTCACGGGAAATGGCGTCGTCCCACTTCTAGTATTCCTATTGGAGAATGGCGGTTCTCGCAGAAAAAAGGATGCATTAACGGCTCTTTATTCGCTATGTTCGATGAAGGAGAACAAAGTCCGAGTTGGTCGATGCATTAATGGCGGTTCTCGCGGGAAATGGCATCGTCGCTGTGTTTCTGTACCAGATGTGAAAACCGCTTTGGTCGATGAAGGCGGCATCCCCGTACTTGTAGAGATCGTGGAGGTAAGACACAGAGAGAAAGAAGTCGCAACGGCGAGAGAGTGAGAGAGCGAGAATGAAAGAAATGGCGCAGTTGCTGTGTTTCCGTTCTCTTTTTTGTTTGGGTTTCTGAGTGCGAGAGACTAAAAGAACAAAGAACAAAGGAAGAAAATAAACAGTGTCATTTCCCTAAAAAAAATTATTTTATTTTAATTATTTTATAAAAATAAATAAAATATTCAGGACAAAAAATTGCCCTTATCTGCTGGAAACCCAAAGCTGAAAAGTCCATTCGAATTAATGAAAGCTAAAAAAGTCCATTCATTTGTTGGGTGGCATTTCTGGGCCCTTTGGGCTATTATTAGAGGAGAATCATCGGCACACGCCTGGTCAAAGTAGTCAGCCTATTGCATGCAGGATGCAGCAAAATGATTGGGTAACCAAAAACATTTCCTGTTCATATCTTCATCTTCTATTATTCTGGGTAAAGTTTTCTATGAGTTGATGAGACAAGAACTAGCCAATCTTCATTAAAAATGGAATCTAGAGAGACAGAGAGAGAGTAGAGTAGAGTAAGGTGTTCGATTTAACTTAGCAGAGAACGAAAAGGAAAATGAATGAAAAGGAAGGGTGACAAGCAATGCCCAACCCTCCATTTCAACAGTTTGAAGGCACATGACCTCTGTTATTTTTTCTTATATATAATTAAAAAAGGTAGGAGGAAAATCAGTTGACCCTCCTGCAGTTCAACCTAATCTCTCCATTGGTTCCAGTGAGGGGACTGATATTGCCCATCCTCACCATGGCAGCAGAAAAATCGCGTGCGAAAGAGGTCCCATCAGTACTATAGGAGCGAACCAAAGAATCCTGGGATCCACCGTTGAAGAGCTCCTGGTCTGAATGCAGCAGCCCACGCCTAGCCACAAGGTTCCCATAGTAGTTGTTATCAAACCGGGCTGGGGTCTGTATGTCAAGCGGGGCCAAATTGGCATCGCCACCCGTCGCCGGGCAGTTCGCCCTTCTCGTCGCTGCGAAGTTGGCGTCGATGTTGGTGTCGTTGTATATACGGTTTCGGAAGGTGCGACACTGAGCCTGGCCTATGGTGTGGGCGCCCGACAGCACCGTCATGTCCCGCGCGCTAAGGCCCTTGGCAGCAAACTTGGATATGAGGCTGGAGAGGTTTTCGCTTGGCCCTGGAATCTGGCTGTTGGCTCCACTTTGGCTCGCTGTTCTTGCATCTCGTCGTCCTAGTGGCACATTCCATGTAGGTCCTCCCAGCTGCAATTACAGAAAACGCTCAGAGAGAGAGAGAGAGGGAGAGAAAGAGAGAGTAGGCTGTGATGCTAACCAACACTACTCCATCTCGTGCAGCAAGAGCGAGGATGTCTGCACATGACACAGTCGCATTGCAAGAGGCCTCCACTTGAGATTTAATGGAGTCGATCACTTCGAACCCACGTGCTGAGTTTCGATTTGGGGCTGCGTTCTTTTCCCCGGTAAAGGTAGCTGTGTCGTCGAGAAGGATTGACGCGTCACAACCCTGGATTGGAACAGTCATTGAAGTGTTAGCTAGCTAGCCTAGACCAGAGAAAATATGTATGTAACAACTGTACGTAACACACAAAGAGACAGTGAAGACAGAGACAAATTAAGGGGATAATAGGGTGTTAACGGTGGATACGTTAACAAAGCAATCGTGGAAGAAAAGGCGAAGGATGGAGGCACCCAGTCGCCTTTCTCTGTTGACAGCTTGCCTCATTCCATTGCGAACGATGGTTGGTAGGTTAGGGCAAGTATTGGCGTAAAAGTTTGTCGAGAGCTGTGCATGGGCTGAGTACGCAAGGAGGGAAAGGAGAGACAGCGTGAGAAAGAGTTGGGTGGTAGTTGTAGAGGCCATTGCTCACAACTCTGGGTATCGGAAGCTTAGACTGATTATTAGCTTGTGACGAGAGAAAGGTCGCAGTTCTCTACTTATATAGCAATATAGCATAAAGTAGGCATATGTCGTGTATGCATGGGAAGAGTAAGGGACAGAGAGAGCGAGAGAGATGAAAAGTAGTGGAGCTTAATTTCAAAATTTGCAGCTGGGAACGCGGTTTGCGGTTTACTTTGGCCGTTTCTCCTCCAAACTGAAAGCGCTTTTAGGAAGCGAGAGAGAAGTAACCTCTTCTTTTTTGTTTTTCAAACCAATGTTCACATTGTCGCGGTCCTGATGAAGCTGCTGTTACATCAGGTAGGTGTGAACATTGAACACTGAAGTCGCTGATAAACCCCTTAATGTTTTATTAAGAGTTAACTTAATTTTGATACGGACACTGTCTAATTAGCGCAGGGATCGACAAAATAAAAAATCATGGCCTAAGATGTATTGCAGTGGCCCATCAAGAACCCACTTCATCTAATTCAAGGTAGGGTCATGGCAATAAATCAAACACTTTGATTCAATTTGTATCAACTCAGGGCTACCACACTATTCGATCGATCGTAGCAATTGTGGGTTGTTGTTTTAAAGGGTCCCCTACATGACTGAGTATATCACCACTGTCATTCAAACTCATGTGAGCAAATTAAGGCAGCCTTTACCTCTAATCAGAAATTCAGAATTGGATAGACAATCGGGGAATGCAATTGAATATCATCCAAAATTTTAGATTTAGATACAGATCATTCATAGTTAAAAGTCTTGACTTGATTTATTAAATTAGAATAATAAACAATCCCTTCTCTCATTTCCACCATATATGGTGTTCTATGTTCATGAGAAGATATCCAATAAACTTGGAACTTTATTTTCCTTTTTTTTATTTGAAGTTATCTTTTCATGAATATATATCAAAATTTATTGGGTTGGTATAAAATTATTACACAAATTTCTAACCACAAGCTCATCTCCATGTGGGGTACTTGTGACCCCCTAATTTGTTAAAAGTAAAGTAAAATAGAACCCATCAATGTTCTTCTGATTAAAATTCTCAAGTACCCAAAGGTGGCACTTAACCATATCTGATCCATGCTTCATGTTCCCCCCAAAAAATCCAAATTTATTAGTAGCTAATAATCTCCATGGTGAATGTGGTTCCAAATTTATCACTCTTCTTGGTGATGTACATAGGACCCTAGTTGTTGTTTACTAAACAGCTATTTTTAAGTAGTATTGAACTTATCTTTAGATGCATGGAAGATTTTCAGTCTTAGAAAGCAATTGACTGCTTTTATAGGGTTCTTGTAGTCTTACCCCTTTCATTAAAACACATCCTACTTAATTTAGTGCCCTTTATAACCTTCTTTGATTGATATAAAAGCAGATTGTGACCTATCATTTTTCAACATAATCGATCATTCAACCTGACTTTCAAAACATAATCATTTAATCAAAACCAAAATTAAAAAAAAAAGATAAAATAAGTCAACAAGGATAAAGAATTCAGCTGTTCTCTCAACCCCCACCCGCCATAGAAATGGAGTTGAAGTTAAATGAGAAGCAGTACCTGAAAAAAATGGAATTAAATTTAAGTGTTAAACACTGATATTTAGGTTGTATTTGGTATCTTGCTGACTACAAACGGCTTAGTGATGGTGATAAACTTTTCACGGGTCATAGCCATACAATAAAGTGCCAACTTTATATGGTTCTAGAAACTCCATAGTCAGTCCATTGAATCTTGAAAATGAGGAAAGAAAAGAAGATTCCTTGTTTATAGGTAGTTAGTAGTTCGGTTCCTTCTTAACAGCGGCATACAGCAATTATTCTCTTCTTTCCTCTTCAGAGTTCAGAGCGTAATGGGCCTACGGGAGATGTCTCCGAGATACATTCCACTTCCACCGTGGGTAGTCACGCGATAATGGTGAATGTGGGTCTTCCCAAATTTTCATTAGTTTTCTCATCTTTGAAGTTTCTTTTTTTTTCCTCCACTTATTTCAATTTTATTATTTTCTTGTTTAGGCCTGGTTTATTTGCATTGCGATTTCATATTTTTTGGTGCAAAAATAGGGGAATGCATTATGATTTCAAAGTGCAATTTCTCTAGGGTCGTCAATGGGTCTGGTCTGGCCGGGTCGAGACAGGATAGAACTGGAATCGACCCAACCAGAACCAGCACAATTTGTTTGGGTCCATCGGGTTAAACCTGACCCATTGACAGACCTAAATTTCTGTTTTAGTTTTGTTTCAATGTTTGCCTTATTTGTTTTGTTTGCAGCTTGAATAAAGGTAAAATACAACCTGAAGTTAAGAGAAGCAAAAGCCAAAGTAAATGTGGAATAGAATTTGCATTCTTTTCATTTGCACTTTCATGCATTTGAATTGATGCAAATGCAATTGCAGTGCAAGAAGAATTAATTTGGCACATTGCTTCTTTTTCACCCAAGGTTCAAAATATCGATACAGTCCGATACGTCGTAGTGGTGTATTAGATTGTGTTGGGGCTTGTTCCCCTTTTTTTTTTAAAACCTGGTCTAGAGGGGTCGGTTTAAGGCCCGTCTACCCCCTGAACTAGGTTAAATCCTGAAACATCCCCTATAAGGGTATATCGGGAAGCCCCGGATATGATATGTATAGACTGATGCGACCTAATATGTATCAAAATTTTGAACCTTGTTTTCACCTAAATGCCGGTATTAATTCCCCTGATTCAATGGTTTAATTTATTGTCAAGATGTGGATTAATTAATTTGACATTCTCAATATATTCATGGATTGAATGAGTAATTAATACTAAGATTCCATGCAACTAAGTACATAACATTTTCTCTATTTCTTAATTAATATCAAACTTTCAATATATAAAAGCTGGTAATATTTTTTTTGAGGGTAAATTCCATATTGGTACCCTTTATTCTAGGGATAGTCTCAGTTTAGTACCCGAACTTCTAAATGTGTCACTTGGGACGGCAATTTCTGCCCTACCTAGTAGGCACCTGGCCCTACAATATTAGGCTAAACTCGACTTGGATTTTGTTGGAAAGCATATAAACTTTATTTACTAGGTGTTAAATTTAATAATATTTTGAATTTTATATAAAGGATAATTTAAAATTTTGTTGTTTATTTGTATCATTTTACTTATTTATAACCATATATGACAAGAAATAATAGGAAAGTAGATGTAGGTCTAAGCCCAACCAACCCCTACCATAAATCAATGTTAAGTGGCTCAATTAGTGTGGTGAGTAACACCAAATACTAAAAAGTAATAATAGTAAGCTAAAGATCACATTGAGCCATGGGGGCATAATTTGAGGATTAGGCTATGTTTGTTTGCACTGAATTTCATTTACACTGTGCTAATGCATATGAGTGCAAATAGGTTGAGTGTAAATTCGGTTTACTTTTGCTTTAGATTTGACTTTGTTTTATTTTGTGATAAGTAAAATGTGGTAGTTCCCTTTCATAATGAAAGAGTATGGAGGTAGGAGGGATTATTTGTTTGGGAGTGAGACAGGATGCAAGATGATTTAGTCTCTGGTGCAAGTGTTGCATTGGGATACAAAATTAGCAATGCTCATGAGTACAAATGAGACAAAAAGTACGAATTTTGCATCATCCAGTTCATAGCACCCAAGGAAGCTAAGCACCATGAGACATCCATATTACACAATTGGATAGAGCCTTGAAAAACTCACATGGGACGCAAGCAAATTTGCATCTTCAGTGAAAAAACAGTTTTCGGGATAAATGGAAAACCATTTGGACGATGCTATCATGGTAAATTCTCCCTAATAATGTTTATCTTTTTCCTCTTCTAGTAGCATAAATCTGGAACAGGACGAAGGAAGCTGATCAAGAACGCTCTTGCTACAGTTGAGGGACAGGTTGTGCAGTAATCCATTCGAGCTCTTCATCTGGTGGTGTCTGGAAATTAGGTTGGATCCATGTGGAGTGCAGTTGTTCTATTGTGTCATATAAATCTTTGTTATCATGTCTTCCACCGAATGTGTGATACTTCCTGGTACTCAAGGAGTAAAACACAAAACCATTAATGGCCTTTCCTTTGCAGCCACTTGATTACTAACAAACAACATTTGTGGTTCTAAACTCTTTATCTCCTACCAAACCATCTTAGAACAATCTAGCTTCAACACAAAAATCCATTTGCCCATTCGACCAAGACGTACCGACACTAGATCTCCATTACATTCCATCAGAAATATATGGGTTAATGGTGGCGACCCACCAGAAGGTGTAAAACCCCCAAGTTCCCGTTCACCCCAAGGCAGTAAAACAATCCATTACAGAAAACTGGATTGACAAAGCATAGCGTGAATGGTGGTTTATCGGTTAGGTTGAGACTCACAGTCCAATCTGCCTTTCCACGACAGATGATGAAAATGTTTACTGATGAGTCGTCAATGCTATTGATACCGAAAACAATACAATCTGAAGAAATTGGTTGGGATGAAAGAGTGAACACTGGTAGTGCATCATCAGGTAACTCTAAATGTGGAAGATTGATCCTTGCATTAGTGAAGGGATTGAAGAAGAAGAAATTAAAACCTTTCCTAATTACAACTAGAAACCAACCATGGTGAACTCCATGAAGAGATTTACATGACACCACCCCCGGATCTGCTCAACTCCATTGACCCCCGCTTGTGCCGTCTTAATAAGTCTATCTTTGGAGTCAAACAAGCCTCTTGAAATTGGTTTCATACATTAGCGCGGGTCCTCAAACAATGGGGATTCACTCAGTCTGCAATTGATACTACTCTCTTTACCCTTTAGTCACAACTCAACTCTTTCTATTTTGGCTTATGTTAATGACTTACTCATCGTAGGTAGTGATCCTACTCAAATTGCAACACTGAAGAAATATCTCCAAAACTGTTTCCCAATTAAATACCTTGGCCCACTAAAATATATATTGGCCATCAAAGTCTCAAGAATGGATGATGGTTTATTCCTATGTCAGGAAAAATATACACTTAACATACTCCAAGATGTTGTGATGTTGGCCTGTA